AATGGCCAGCCTTAACCTGGAAAGACGAGAGAACCTCCCATTCACCACATAGCCAAGGAGAGGGCCCGAGCTTCTTGTTCAGCCTCTGCCCTGTACTCCAGGCTCACATGGAAAAGGAATGCCCTGGGAGTGTGTCTGTGGTAGAGCCTTGTTTAGGGCTGCAAGGCACTGGGTTCTATCCCCAGAACCAGAAAAACAAAAGTGAAAGACCTCGGACCTCTCCCTGGAACCCAGCCCTCTCTGGAGCATCTTCAGGAAGGAGGAAGGGGATGAATACCCCCATTACCCTTCTCCCATTTTCCATAGCTAGTCCAGAAGTCTGTGCTCTGCATCCCCTTTCCCCTAGTCCATGCAGTGCCAGGATTTAGCTGTCTGGGTTCCCAACAACCTGTGTCTTTGCAGAAATAAGAAGGAAAGAGATTCTCAAACAGAGCAAAGGGGGAAATGGAGATTTTAATAAGAACAGTCTCCGTTTTGTTTTACTTTGTTTTGTTTTGAAACAGGGTCTTAATCAGCACCTCAGGCTGGGTGATCCTCCTCTCTGGGCTTCATGAGTGCTAGGATTATATGCATGCACCACCACAGCTGGCTACGGTCTGCTTTTGCAAGATGAAAAGAATTGTGTGGGTCGATGGTGGTGGTGTTTGCACATTCTGGGAACAGACTTGATGCCACTGAGGTGAACATCTGAAAATGGTTAAGATGCGGGTGGAAATAAAAGGAAGGTTAAGGTAGTAACTGTTTTTTGCTTTTTGTGGTATTAAGGATGAAACCCATGGGCTCTCCACCACTCAGATACATGTACCCAGCTCTTTTTACTTTTTATTTTGATACAGGATTGACTAAATTGCCCAGGCTGGCCTTGAATTTGTAATCCTCCTGCCTCAGCTTCCCAAAGAACAGAGATTATCACTGTTAATCACTGCTTCACTTAAACTGATAAATTTTATGTTGTTTGTATTTTATTACAGTAAAGGTTGGGGGTGAGGCAGCAGAATTGTCTTTAATATATACCCTTTATTATTCTTCATATTCAGCAGGCTTAGATTTATATGTAAAGAACTATGAGAAGTTGGGCATGAAGGTGCTATAATCCCAATGCTTGGGAGGTTGAGGCAGGAGGATCGAGGTGAGGGCTAGACCAGTCTGAGCATGGTCAGTTCAAGGCCAGCCCACAATAAGTAATGTGACCCCTATCTCAAAAACAAAACAAAACAAAAACTATGCATGAGGTTAATAGAAAAAGCAATATATCTGTCTGTGGTGGCTCATAGGTATAATCCCAGCACTCAGAAGGCCAAAGTAGGAGGAGTTCCACAAACTCTAGGTCAGCAAGAGTTTGTCTCAAAAAGCAAAAACAACAAAAGCAACATAGCTCATACTCTGAGCACTTTCCAAATGCCTAGCACCAGCCTAGATTATTTGACTTCATTAAATCTTCACAGCAACCCTATAGATGGGGTAACACTGTCATTTTGTAGATAGGAAACTGCAAGCTACAGAGGCTTAATGCTAGCTGGACGTGGCTGTGCACACCTATAATCCCAGCATTCTGGGAAACCAATGCAAGAAGATTCCAAGTTTGAACTCCATCTTAGAAAATTTTGTGATTTAGGGAGTTTATGTGTCAAAATTTTAAAAAAATTAAAAAGGGCTTGGAGAGTAGCCCAGTGCCAATGCCCTAGGTTCAGTCTCCAGTGCTACAAAATAAGTAAATCAATTTTTGTCGTTTGTTCAATTACACATATCTAAATAACTCACCTTCCTGATGGTCCTTGGTAGGTGTGTAAAATGCTCTCATAGGGTGTTTCATGGACACTGCTATTAAAGCATTTTACATGTCTGTCTCCCAAGATCCTGGTTCTTCAGGGTCAGTAGCAAGTTTTATTCATCTTTAAGGTCCCTGCAGACTACCTAACACAGTGCTTGGCCTACTGTCAGCAGCCAATAAATGTTAGTTCAAAGAAAGTGGATGGAAAAAAAAAACAAAAAAAGAAAAGAAAGTGGATGGGAGGCAGACAGGGAAGGACCGTGGAAGGGAAGGAGAGAGAGAGGTAGCGGATGGTGTGGAATGACTGGGTAGCCCAGGCCTGGAGGCTGCAGGGTGTGCTGCCAAGCTCCTCAAAGTCTTTTAGGGGGTGAGGGGCAGGCAGAGGACTTTGGGCAGACATTGTAAGCACCCTTGATGGGGACCTGGCAAGGTTTGTGGCACAGCAAAGTCAGTATTAATGAAAGAGTGTAGACAGCTCTGGAGAGTAATCAGGAATCCTGGAATCTAGGGCAGGCTGGAGAAAGAGAAGTTGAGGGCACAGTGTCCTGGAGAGAACAGGGTGGAGGGAGGAGGGGAAAACTTGCCCCTGGGAGATCCCAGGACACAAGGTCAGGAACAAACAGCCCCCTCAATGGGTGCTCAGGTGTACCCTGGCTCTCCAATCTTCTCTTGCTGGCTCACACCTGTGGCCTCTGCAGAACAACTTCTTTTCATTATTCAGGTCTTTGCTCAAGTGACAACACCTCACAGGCCTTCCCTGACCACCTGGCCAGCTGACTAATATGCCCGTTCTCCTCTATTGTATTACAGGAGTTTATTCCCTTTTAGAGCTCTAACCATTATCTGAAATGCTGATGCTTATTTGTTTTCTTTGTGCCCCCCCATGCCATGCATGTGTCTCTCCCTGCCTCTGTTATGTTGCAAGATCCGTAGCTGCAAGGTGTGTGTGTCCTTTACTGTCAAATCCTCAGTGTCCCGAGCAGTGCTGGGCACTTTCTAGATGCTCAGTAAATATTAATTGAGTAGATACATACAGGTGGCCTAAGTTGCTCCCAAATATCCATCAAGGACCAGAATTGAATTTGTATTCCTTGCCATGCTGAGGTCATTCCCACAAACACCTCTGAGTTGAAGGAGGCAGTTGTAGGTCCCAGGAAGGTCTACAAGAGTCAGGGTTGAGAAAGGTAAAGGCCAAGGAGGCACAGACTGGGCCTGAAACCTCTTTTCCTTGGGTCACTTAAATGCAGAAAGGGACAACAGAACTAATGACTGACACCTTGTTGCCTTGGTTACTGGTAACCATAACCTTGCAAAACATTGGCAGGCTTGCTGCCAACATTGTGCATACCTCTAATCCCAGAACTCAGGAGGCTGAGGTGGGAGGATCACCTTGAGTTTCAGGGCCAGCCTGAACTACAGAGCAAGACTCTGTCTCAAAAAAAAAAAAAAAAAAAGGAATACTGAGATTCCCAGGGGTTCTGGAGATAGGGGAATATTAACAGTTCTTGAAAAGGATGAGTTTGGAGAGGTAGGGACTGAGGACTGAAGCCCTACAGCTCCCTAGCAGGCTGGGACGCAAGAATTCTGAAAGGGGCTGAGGACTGGGGGCTAGAGATTAATGATTCAGGGGTCGAACACGAAAGTTCCCCAAAGAAGGACTAGAGCACCAGAATCCTCCAAAAATCGGAGGGCTGAGGGCTGGATCACTGTATTATTGGAGGGCAGAGATTATCCCAAGTCTATCTGTTCTTTCCAACTGGGACCAGCACAAACTAGTTCTTATTTAATGGATTAGAGACAAATTCTTCTAAGAGCATAGCACAGACACTAGAAGAAAAAGAGGCAACTTTCTCCTCTGTTCCCTCTCCTCCCCTCCCCTCCATTCCCCTTCCTTCCCCTCCCTTCCCCCCCTTCCCTCTCTTCCCTTTTTGTATGGGGGATCATCAGATCCAGGTGCATTCTCTCCAGCCCTCCCCATCACCACCACTAAGCTATATCCCCAACCTTTTTAATTTTTTATTTTGAGACAAGGTCTTGCTAAACTGTTCTGACTGGGCTTAAATTTATTTATGATCTTCCTGTGTCCACCTCCAAATAACTTGGATTACAGGTGTATGTCGCTGAATTTAGCTTTCATTTCTGTTTTTGCAGTGCTGGGAATGGAATTCAGAGCTTTGCAAATGCTAAGCAAGCACTCTACCATTGAGTTATTTCTCAATGCTAGTTAGTTAGTTAGTTAGTTAGTTAGTTAATTGGTTAGTTAGCTAGCTATTACCTAATTTTTGAGGTGGGACCTGCTAAATTGCCTAAGCCTCAACTTTGCAGTACCCCTCCAAAAGAGCTGGGATTACAGATGTGAGTCACTGTGCCTGGCTTGCTTGCTTGCTTTATTTTATTTATTTTTTTCCCAAGTGTTGGGGCTAGAACCTAGAGCCTCTGACATGCAAGGTAAGTGGTCTACCACCAAGCTATACTCTAAGTCCCCCTTTTCTTCTTTCTCCCAGGTGCTACCCTATTTCTCAAACCCTGCCCCATCTCTCGGTAACCCTCTCATGCCCCCTGCTGATCCTTTCCTGAGTAGCAATGGCCAATCCAAGGCCAAAATGACAGACAGCGATATTTCATCCTGATCTGGCAGACAGGAGGTTGGGATTTCAAAGGGAGTAGATGCTTAACAAGAGGATGGGATCCTGGCTTTTGGAAGGTGGTCTGTATCTCTGTGTGTGTGTGTTGGGGGGGGGGGCTGCTGCTTGGCCCTCAGTCCTAATGACCACATCCTGAGGGAATCCCTTCTTGACCTTCAGACTAGGTAATGAAGATCCCAGTCTCCAAGCTTTCACAAATTTCTTTTTCTTTTGTCTCTTTAGTCTTTTTAAGACAAGGTCTTGCTATGCAGCTCAGGCTTGTCTTGAACTCACATCATAGCCCAGGCTGGCCTCCAACACAAAGTGATCATTCTGCCTCAACCTCGCAAGTGCTGGGATTACAGGCATAGGATTGGGATTACCACACCCAGCCCTTCACAACTTTCTGATTGTTCTTTTGTAGTGTGTGTCAGTCTCCAATTAGCTGCCTATTTGTTATGAAAACTTGCCTCTCCCTTGGGCCTGTGAGCACCAAGAGGGTTGTTTTCTTTGCTCTTTAACATCTCAGTGCTTGGCACAGGGCCTGGTCCATTTCTGGTGCACAGTACCACTGGACAAATGAATGAGTCATATTCAAAGGGGCTTTAATTGGAGATATCAGTGTCATTGCTTGAGCTCTGGGGGCAGCTATGAGTCCAGATATTCTGGCTTCTGCTTAGGGCCCGATCCATGTCCAGCTTCTGCCCTTGTGCCCAAAGGCCATCCAAGCAAAAGGAGGCAGAAGAATCCTCTCCTAGAGGGGGTGGCACAGAGGTGGGATTAGAATATTAACGCGGCTTGGATTCAGCAGCTCCCCTACATCTCCAGGTTTTTAACCTAATTTCCTAAAATACTTGCCCCCATCGCTCCCTTATCCTCTTATTTTTCTTTTTACTGAGAGGTGCTGGGATTAAAAACCAAGGCATTCAGACAAAGCAAACATGCTACAGTTGAATGTCCCTAATGCTATCACGTTCTCTGTGCTCTTTCCGTCTTCTCTCCCAGAGGTTTCCTTCCTCACTCAGTATGGCCTTTCCTTCACTGGTTCCCTTGGTATGCTGAGGAAACAAATAGCACTCTCATACCTGGTAAAGCACCAATGAAGAGGCGGCTCTGCGGCTGGGCCCAGAGCTCAGAGAGAGGGCCACGGCCCTCAGGAGGCACAGCAGAGACCTCCGTCTTTAACCCTTGCTTCAAGATCACCGTGGATGTGGCCAGCTTCAGCTGAAGAGGGAGTCCCAAGGCCACAGGCAGCTCTAGTCTTGGCCCTGCCCCAGAAGTCAGCACTACCTTCTGCAATGTGAGGGGAAAGGGACAGGAGCAAAGAAGGAAGAGTGAGCCACAGTTACTCCTCATGATCCCACCCCTTGCTGGTTTAAATCTGTCTCTTGGCACACCTCCACTTACTGGCTTTTCTCACCAGTTAAATCCCGCACCAGGGGCTGGAGAGATGGCTCAGTGGTCTAAAGCACCTACTTAGAACAAGCTTAGCAAAGCATCAGGGACCACGGTTCAATCCCCCAGCACCACATGCCAGCCAGCCCCGCCCCCTGGTGGGCTGAGCTGGCCACACACACACACACCACACTCTCTCTCTCTCTCTCTCTCTCTCTCTAATAAATAAAAAATAAATAAATAAATCCTGCACCAGTGTTCCTCATTGGACCTGCTGTGGCACCATCCCTACCTCCAAACAAGCACGCACTCTAAGTATCTAAGGAAAAGGTGTTTGCTAACAGCAGGGAGTTTCAAGGCAGGTCTCTTGGGCCAAGGAGACAGCTCAGTGGCATAAGTGCCTGCCTAGCAAGCATAAGGTCCTGAGTTTGATCTCTGGTATGAGAAAAAAAAAAAAATCACAAGGAAGAAACCTGATCTCATCTCCTCCACAGTGTCCTACTGCCCTCTCAGAACTGTCCTAAGCTCTGATTTTTGTTGTATTAACCAGAAATTGATAATGGCAAGTTATTTTACTTCTGAACAATCCCCCACAGATTTTTCACTAATGGGCTATTCCTGTGACAGAACTTCTGACTTGTCATTTGGCATCTTCCTTGCTGGTGCACTGAGCTTATGAGCTGCATGTGTAGCTCACATAAAAGGTTACTTACTCTTCCAGCACAAACGCGCCACACTCACAACACCAACTGCGAACATGCTGGAGTATGTGTGCTGAAAACAAATAACAGGGGAGTACTGGGCAGTCTGTTGGGCCTGCCATGAGCCAGATGCTTACACCTGACCTCAGTAGGAGAAGAGCACAGGACAAATAAACAGGGAAGCAGGTGTTATGCTTCCACAAACAAATCCTCATTCTGATATGACAAACCAGAGAAAACCAATGTGAACTTGGATTTCCTGCCTCTAGCTTGTGAGTGGTCTTCACCAATATTCAGCTACCAGAGTTCTCTGGTGTTGTGGGTTTCTTAGATCTACATTCGCACAGCTAAAAAAGGTAATTTAAGCTATAATTTTTGTGTTTACCAATGTACTTATTCATTTAGTCAATAACTAATTATTGAGTGTCTACTGTATATAAACTCTGTAAAAGATACTGAGTAAAAAAAGATACCCAGTTAAAAAAAAAATATGGTCATAATACCCATCCTTATAGAGTCCCCAAATACAATAGAGTAAATGAGCAACAACAACAACAACAACAAAAAAGACAGATTCCTGGCTACTTCCTGAATATAAACCCATGTGTGTATTTAAATGAGGTACACTAGGGCCAGGGAGATGGCTCAGTAGAATAAGGGCTTCCCTGGCAAGCACAAGGGCCTGAGCTCAATTCCTGGTTCCGCAAAAAAAAAAAAAAAAAAAAAGAGGTACACTTTGGCTTTGTCTTCTTTTCTCTTCTCCTCAGTTTAAAACAGTTTCTGTCTGTCTCTCTGTCTCTGTCTCTGTCTCTGTCTCTGTCTCTCTCTCTCTCTAGTATTGGAGATGGACCCAGGGTTTCACAATTAGCTACATCCTTTTTATTTTATTGTTTTTTTTTATTTTGGGGAGGGGGACAGGGTCTCACTAAATCACTAAGTTGCCTGGGTTGGTTTGAACTTGAGATCCTCCTGCCTCATACCCTCAGAGTGCTGAGATTAGAGGTGTGTGCCACCAAGGTTAGCTAAGCCTTCCCAATAATGAAATCTTGACAATAGCCATTGCCTTATTAATCCCAGACTTCCCTGAATGCAGGCAACTCCCCCTCCCCCCACTTTACTTGATCTTGGAGGTGAAGGCTAAGCCAAGAAGAGTTCTCTCGTGCACTAAGGGCAAGCAGGTGACCAGATCCAGCTGCCAGCTTGAGTTCCAGGTCCAGAGAGAAGGCCCAGGGCTCTACATGAGGCTGTGGGATATCTGGGGGAAGAAACAACCCTCCTGACCTTCATGGAGACAAGGGCCTATCCTATGCTAGACAAAGGCACAGGAAGGCAGAGCTGACCAGGGAAGTAAAACTAGACTCCAAGAAGTCTACCTTGGAGACTGAATTCAGCACGTGCCCCTGGAGGGAAAAACAGCCCAGGCTGCAATTCCACATTACAGTTTCTGAGACTAGCAGAGGCAGAAGCTGAAGGCTGAGCCTGCTGGCCCAACCAGCTATCCCGGCGCAGGCAGCCATCCAGGGCAGGGACCAGCTGGAGGGAGTGAAGGAGAAGGAGGATGTTGGGATATCCGTCAGGACATTTAAAGCCCAATCTCAACCTTCCCACCCATAGTTAATTCCCCTCTGAGACCCAAGTGCCTGGCTTCCCCCATGCAGTTAGTATTCCATCCCCTCTCCCAAAAGCTGGTTTTATATTCCTATCCCACTTCTTCCATTCCCACCCAAGTGATGTAGTTACCGGCAACAGAAGTTTGGAAGCAGGAAAGAGCAGCCCCCCCAGCGCGATCCTCATGAGGAGCTGTGGTTTGTCGGCCCAGGACCCATACACCTGCCTCAGGCGTAGCATCTCATCCCCATCCACCCACAGCAGCACTGAGTCCCCAGCGGTCTTCACCTCCACCTGCAGAAGGAGGTGAAAAGCTGCATCAGAGACTCTACAGCCTGTGGCCACCACTGTCCACTGCAGGAGCTTGAAGATACATCCTTGGCTCGTTCCAACCTTGTCACTTATTGACTGTGCAGGTAGAATGAGATGACAATGGCAAAGTGATGCACAACTACTTGTTTCTATTTGCTTTCCTCAGACCAGCTCAGACACCTCTTTCCCCAAGAGCAGAGGTACCTTACCTGGTGCCATCTCCCGTCATCCACCCGAGGACCAGCACCCACAGTAAGTTGGGCCCAGCGATTGTGCAATTGGATCTCAAGCCTTCCATCCCGAAGTCCCAGCATGAGCCAGTCTTCCTCAGCATTGGTGTCCCCATAAAATATCACTCCCTCTGGATCCCAGGTGCGAAACTCAAAGGAGGAAGAGGTTCTACAAGGGTGCAGCAGAAGGGGAGACTGTGTATGTTGGATTTTTTGAGGGTTGGGGGAGGTTGAGTTCAGGGAGTGGGCAGGGAAACAGGAAAAAGGGACGAGCTGATAGAGAGGGGATAAGGTTTCAGTACTGGGTTGAGAGGCTAAGTGAACCCCATACTTGGTGGTCTTGGTGAAGTCAAAGGTCATGACAGCAACAGGTTCTTGTCCTGGGCCACTGCTGAGGTACCTAGTAGGAGAGTCTTGAGACCTCTGTCAGAAAGAAAAAATAAGGGGCTGGGGAGATGGTTCAGTAGAATAAGCCAAGGGCCTGAGTTTAATCCCCAGTTCCACCAAAAAAAAGAAAGGAAGAAAAAACAAAGTTGACAAAGGACATATCTGAGAGAGAGAGAGAGAGAGAGAGAGAGAGAGAGAGAGAGAGAGAGACAAAGAGACAGAGAGACAGAGACAGAGACAGAAAGAGACAGAGAGATAGAGAAAGGAAGAGAGAGCTGCTTCTACAGAGCCAGAGGAGAAAAGAGAGAAGAGGACAGAGCCAAAGGGCAACCCATTTAAATTCACACATGGGCTAAGGACCCTCAGCTCTCAGTACCTCAGTGGAGAGAGTGTGCCCCAAGGCCCATCCCTGGTGGATGTGAGGTAGCAGTGGCAGCAGCAGCAGCAGCAGCAACAGCAGCCAGTATAAGGTGGCTGGTGGACTTCTGCTCTCCATAGTCAGCTGCAATCCAAGATGTGTCTCACACTCTGTGAAGAGAACAAGGGGAGTAGGCAGCCTCACATATGGCTAGCGGAGGGCTAAAGGTTGCCCTTGGGAAGGATGGGGCCAGCGACAGGGACATTGACCTTGCGGCCCCTCTGAAGGTAAATGGGAAAAGGGGCAGAGTCCCTCCATTACCATCCCCCACAGCAGAGAAATTTATGAGCTGGTAGCCAGCAGTGTCTCATCTCACTCCTCCCTAGAGCCTGACCTGGCTCTTCCAAGCATTCTACCCACCTGGGTAGGGGAGGGGAGGGTCTTCAGAGATGTGAGATCTGGTCCTGCTCAAGTAGCATCCTCCAGCAGGGCTAGAGATGAGTCATGGAATCTCAAGTATCTGGTTAAGGGGCCTTGGACAAGTTGCCTCACTTTCATGCGTCATGTCCTTGTCTGTCAAATGAAGAAATAATCCTTTCTTTGAGACTGTTGTGAATGGGGGGGTTCACTGCGATAACACAGGAACAGCGCCTGGTATCTGGTTGGGACTCCTCCAGTTTTCCCAGGCCTCTAAGGTCTGTCTCACAAGAAAGTATTGTTTCTGGGTGTGACTTGGTAGATACTAAGAAGGGGCCTGTCCCCACTCCCAATGATTTCTTTTATCAGTTGATTACAGGGCTTATTGGTCTACCAGTAGAAATTCATCACCTTCTCTCTCGCTGACACCTTTTATTTATTTTTTGTTTTATTTGTTTGCTTGTGTTTTTTTGAAACAGGGTCTCTCTGTGTAGTTTAAACTGTCCTTAAACTCACTATATGTGCCATGCCAACCCTGCCCCCGGGGCACACTGAGATGGCAACTGAGACTGGGCCTGTTGGTTCAAGCCTGTAATTCCAGCGCTTGGGAGTCTAAGAACAGGAGTATCACTACGAGTCTGATTTGTGTAGTGAGACCTTGTAGATCCTATACTAAATACATTAAAAACAAAAACAACTCACTATATGGTTCAAGTTGGCCTTGAACTCACAGCCAGTCTAGTGCTGAGATTACAAGCCTATGCCATCACACTGGCCTACTTAACTCATTTAAAATACCCTAAGAGAAGAAACACTTTGAGCTCAACTGCCATAAAAAACAGGACTGAGTATGTAGCTCAGTGGTGCAGCATATACCTAGAGGTCTTGAGTTCCATCCTCAGCGCCTCAGAACAAAACAAAACTGTAGGAAACACCTGGTAGAGCAAAGGGTGTCTGAGGCTCACGGAGGTCCTGAGTAGCCCTGAATGGATGGGGAGATTGAAAGCTAAAGCAGTCAATCTCTACATACTCCAATTAATCACGGAGGGGCCGGGGAGATGGCTCAGTAGAATAAACGCTTGCACAAGGGCATGAGTTCAATCCCCGGTTGCGCGCGCGCGAGGTGGGGGGAATCCAATTAATCCCGGGAATGACTTTTGAGCCCTGCAGCCGCTAATGGAGGCCCGCACAAGGTTTTGACCTTTGCCCTGAGCTCCGTCGCGAGTTGGGTGTAGGAGGCGGAGCTCGGGGGAGGGGGGGTGCTCGCCAATTTTGCGAGCTGATTGGCTGGGGAGTGTGTGCCTGCAGGATCAGAATTTAGGAGCTGTCTCGGGCGGTGAAGCCCACCAGGACAATTCACTCAGTTCTGACTGGCTAGCACGCGATTCCGGCTGGGAATCCGTGGCCCCTCCACTTGTCCCTCCCGCCCGGCTTTTCACCCTCTGAGTTTCTAGGCCTTTTACTGGCCCTGCGGAACGGAAGTGGGCGGTCGTAGTCTGTGGTCCCACGGTGGGGATTCCGATGGCTTTCGTGCAGATCCGAGCGGCCAGGGAAGGAGACTGCGGAGACATTCTGAGACTCATTCGGGTGAAGGCTGCAGGCTGGAAACCGGCGCGCGGGAGAGGCTGTCAGGGTCTCGCGGGCCAGGCGGGAAGGGGGAGGTGGGGCAGGGCGGGGCGGGGCCTTGGGCCCTGCTAGGTAAGATCTGGGCCCCTGCCCTGATCGGACCTCATCCCCCCCCAACACTACACCCCCACCCCCACCACAGGAACTGGCAGAGTTCGAGAAACTCTCGGATCAGGTGAAGATCAGTGAAGAAGGTGAGGTGCTCAGCTCCAGGGCCTGCTGGGGACTGGGGGTGGGGGTGGGGGTGGGGTGGGGAATGAGGCATGTGTTGGCTGGTCGGCAGGGCTGAGCACACACCCAGGTCCTCTGTCTGTGTCTCTTTGTCACACCGCCAATCTCTTAGTCCTGAGAGCAGATGGCTTTGGAGAGAATCCTTTCTATCACTGTTTTGTAGCAGAGATTATTCCAGCACCTGGTGAGCGACAAGGTAAACGCACCTCTCCAGTGGCCTGTAGGGACCTCCCATGCACTGTTCCAAAAGGAGCCTTATTCCCTTTTTGGTCTTTCCCAGGGCCTTGCATTGTGGGCTACGGACTATACTACTTCATCTACAGCACTTGGAAGGGTCGTAACATTTATCTGGAGGACATCTATGTGATGCCGGAGTATCGGGGTACTACTGGGCAGGAGTTGAGGCCAAGGTGGACACAATGGTGGAGCAATTCCATAGGTCCCCATCCTCCCCTCTCCCTGATCACAGCCCATGGCCTTTTCTGACTGCCTTCAACTTAAACAACAGTTCTTTTTGCTTCTTTCTCCTACAATAGGTCAAGGGATTGGTTCCAAAATAATCAAAAAGGTGGCTGAGGTGAGCTGAGAAAGGGCATCTACAATTGAGGTCCAAAAAGGCCAAGGATGTATGAGAGCACCTGGTTGAAGGGGGAGTAGGGAAGTCTTCATTTTTGACCCCAGGACAGTGAGTGTTATCTTCTCCCACAGGTGGCCCTGGATCAGGGTTGCTCCCAGTTCCGCCTGGAAGTTCTGGAGTGGAACAAGAAGGCTATGGATTTGTACAAGGCCCTAGGAGCCCAAGATGTGACCCAGGCGGAGGGCTGGCATGCCTTCCGTTTTGAAGGAGAGGCGATGAGGAAGTTGGCAGGAAGATGATGCCATCTCTGCCCCCATCTGCTCAAGCACTGCTCAGAGACACTGACCCCTAGGCCTCCCAGAGAAAGATTCCTGCAGGACACAAACAGAATTGAGGGAGAGGTCTTTCTGAGGGTGAAAAATTAATCAGAATTAACCATGTCTCCATGTGGTTGTGTGTGAAGGAAGTTTTTAGTTGTTTTTCCCCTTTCAGTACTGGGTATTAAACCCAGGGGTGCTCTCTTGCTGAGCTAAATTGCCTGTTCTTGGGGCTGGTGAGATGGCTCAGTGGTCTAAAGCACCTACTTAGAACAAGCTTAGCTAAAGCACAGGGACCGTTGTTCAATCCCCCAGCACCACATGCCAGCCAGCCCCACCCCCTGGTGGGCTGAGCTGGACACACATACACATACATAAATAAATTGCCTGTTCTTTAAATTTTGGGGTCTTGGTACATTGCCAAGGCTAGTTTTAAACTTGCCATTCTCATGTCTCAGGATTCCAAGTAGCTGGGATTATGAATGTCTGCCACTGTCCCCAGTTCCCTGATGGGTAGAGGAATTGATGGGGTAATAAACTCCAGCCACTTCACAACCCTTCTTGGATTTTATTTTTGGGTTTTGGTTTATTTTTTGACATGGGTCTTGCTATGTAGTTCAGGCTGTTCTTGAACTCATGGTGATCTTCCTGCCTCAGGCTCTCAAGTGCTGAGATTACAGCTGTACCACCATGCCTGACCTCAGTACCCTTCTTGTATGTTCAGGTCAGGGGATGGTGCTCTGATGCAAGCTAGGACAGCTAGAAAGCCAGAGGTAAGGGGGGGGGGGGCAAGGTAACTTTGACTCTAACCTATGGAATATAGGAGAGTGAGGGGATGGGTGTGGTATCACACACCTATAATTCCAGTATTCAGGAGGGTGAGTCAGGAGGATTGTTGGAAGTTTGAGACTAGCTTGGGCTATAAAGTGAGCTCAAGGCCAGCTTAGACTCCAAAGGGAGACCCTGTCTCAAAAAGACCAAAACAAAACAAACATACAAAAAAAGTGTGAGGGAATAGGCTTGGTATATGAAGTTCATTGGTCAAGATTAAAAAAGGTGTGGACTGAGCTGTGCCAGTTCCAAGACTAAGGCAGGCCTGCAGCTCAACAAAGGCACTAGGCTGCCCCCTGGTGTCAGTATGTTGAGGGGCCCTGGGAAGGATCGATTAATTATTCGACCTTCCTCAAATCAGCCCAACTATCTGGATTGGTGTCACACTTCTCAGAAGACCAAGGCAGGAGGATGGTTTGAGCCTAAAACCATCGGTGGAATAAGCGCTTCCCTGGCAAGCACAAGGGCCTGAGTTCAATCCCCGGTTCTGAAAAAAAAAAAAAAAATCAGAGAAAAGAAAATATAAAACAACAACAACAAAGCCAGGCATGGGAACAACACTCTGGGAGGCTGAAGCAGAAGGATTGCCACAATTTTGAGGAGAGCATGGGCTGCATAATAAGTTGAAGAGCAGACTGAACTATGTAGTGAAGCCCAGTATGAACAAAGAAAGCGAATAAATTTAAGCAAAAATAAAGCAGACATTTAAACCTTTAAGACCATAGGGGTAAGGAGGTGAACAGGTTCCACTTATTTCTTTTCTGTGTGTATATGTGGTACTTGAATGGGACCTAGGATCTTTATATTGAACTACATCATGAACACTGTCTCCTTTTTTTGTTGTATTTTTGAGACAATGTCTTGCTAAGTTGCTAAATTGACCAGGCTGGGTTCAACCCTGAAAGCTTCCTGTCTCAGCCTCCCAGAGTGCTGGAATTACAGGCACCCATCATCATGACAGGGTTATTTATTTACTGATTTATTTCTGTGCAGCTAGGAATCTAACCCAGGGCTTTGCATGTGCTAGAGAAGTACTTTACCAATGAGCTACCTTTACAATCCTCATAGCCCAGTTTCAAAGTATTTTATTATGTAAGTAATGTAGGTTGCAGAAAAATTGGAAGGTACATATATAAAGGGGTTGGGGATATAGTTCAGCAGTAGAATATGTGCTACTATATAGCATCTACGCAGCCCTAGATGTGCAATACCCAAGACCAAAAACTACCCTCAATAAATTAAAAAATAGAACCCCAGCCTTACTTATACAGTCACCACTATGCCATTAATATTGATTCTTCAAAGCGCAGGGTCCAGAGTTCAATCCCCAGTACCACCACCACAACAACAATCCCCCCCCCCCCACCCGGGGATTGAACTCAGGCCCTTGCACTTGCCAGGGAAGCTCTTATTCTACTGAGCCATCTCCCCGGCCCCAAATTTTTTAATTTTTGAAACAGAGACACTTAAATTGCTGAGTTGTCCAGGCTGGCCTGAACATACAAGCCTTCTGTCTCAGTCTCCCGTAATTCTGGGATTACAGACATGTGCCACCATGCCTGGCTCCTGTCATTTATAATGGTGTACACCATTCCTTTTACAGATAAGCCACTGGTTAAATGATCATACGTGGGAAGAAAAGGCAGACATTGATAGAATAGGCAACTAACATAAATGTGTAAATTGTCAGAATCAGAATCTTTAAGATTAGAGAACTGAACACCCAAGTTAAAATTCAAATCATACAGCTGGGAATACAGCTGGTGAAAAAGCATATGATTGGGGCTGGAGAGATGGCTCAGTGGTCTAAAGCACCTACTTGGAACAAGCTTGGCAAAGCACAGGGACCACGGTTCGATCCCCCAGCACCACATGCCAGCCAGCCCCACCCCCTGGTGGGCTGAGCTG